GCCAGCCATGAGCAGCCAGATCCTTCAGCCAGCCATGAGCCGTCCAGCCAGGATCCGCCAGAGCCGTCCAGCCAGGATCCGCCAGAGCCAGCCAGCCAGGATCCGCCATTGAGTCCGGTGCTGTCCCTTAGCCCGGTGCTGCCCCTTATCCTGGTGCTGCCCCTTAGTCCGGTACTGCCCCTTAGTCCGGTGCCGCCCCTTAATCCAGTGGGGTTTAGTTGGGGGGTGGTCATGTGGAGGAGGCTACGGAGGCGGGGAGTGACTAAGGTGGGGTGGGGACCACGACCAGGGCCAGAACCGCCACCGTGGACAGACGCCCACCCAGACCCTCCCCTAGACTGTATGCTGGTGCGCCCGGAGTTCGCACCTTTAGGGGGGGGTACTGTGACACTCTGGCTCCAGGACTTTTGTATTTGAGCCAGGGTGTATTGTGTTTTGTTGGGTTTTGGGTGATTTTCTATGTTTGCATTTCTGTCACGTTTATTTCTAGGTTTGGTCATTGACTCCCAATCGGAGGTAACGAGTGTCAGCTGTCGGCTCGTTATCTCTGATTGGGAGCCATATTTATTCTGATTGTTTTCCTGTGGGAATTGTGGGTTTTTGTTCCAGGTTCAGTATTTTGTCACTGTTGGACTTCACTATCGTCTTTTGTTTTGTAGTTACGTGCTTTCGTTATTAAAGTCATCATGTTCACTCAACGCGCTGCGTATTGGTCTGCTCCCTTTATAGACGATCGTGACAATATCTCTGGTGCTTGAAATGTAAAATTTTCCTGTCCTGCTAAAGTAAAAAAATACATTATTGTCTTGAGGAATCTAGTGAAGTAAAAGTTAAATTGTAAAGTACAGATACCCAAAAAAACTACTTAAGTAGTATTTCAAAGTATTTTTTACTGAAGAACTTTACACCAGTGGGCACTGTCTGATAGTAGCTAGGCTCACTCACTACAAAATTAAGATTGTCTTTCTACAACAGGGTAGGGAGCTGAAGAACACCATTCTCTGTTAATCAGCGATTTCCCAATTAAATTGTGGAGAGATGAAGAGCCCTGTACCCCACTTTCAAACGGCTCCAAACAGAGAAACAGAATGTTCTTCTGGTGGTCGATAAGTTGTATGTAAACAAGTCATTGTTCAAGGATTGGAAGATTACAACGTGGCTGTGAATGATACCTCATCCTGAGGTAGTCCTCAATAGGCCTACACATTGCACCGCACTACACATTACAATCCTTTATAATTATAATTATTATTATGTTATTATTTATGTATGATGGACTTATCCTTTTTTACTCATGCAATACAGAACCTTGGACTATGTGGACTTAAAATTAAGTTTCGATTTATGGGACGTTTTTGTTTATTTATTTTGAAGACTGCACAGGCGTTAAATTGGAAAAAGCAACGTTGGGATTTGAGTTTTATCTGATACAAGCTAATTGTAGAGATTGGGGTATATTATGGCTTGAATGCTATTATACTGTGAGTGGCGCAGTGGTCTAAGGCACTGCATCGCAGTGCTAACTGTGCCACTAGAGATCCTGGTTCGAATCCAGGCTCTGTCGCGACCGGGAGACTCATGGGCGGCGCACAATTGGCCCAGCGTCGTCCAGGGTAGGGGAGGGAATGGCCGGCAGGGATGTAGCTCAGTTGATAGAGCAAGGCGTTTGCAACGCCAGGTTTGTGGGTTCGATTCCCACGGGGGCCCAGTATAAAAAAATATATATATATGTATTCACTAACTGTAAGTCGCTCTGGATAAGAGCGTCTGCTAAATGACTAAAATGTAAAAAAATGTGAATCCCTTCTTGGCATTTTTCCTGTTTTGTTGCCTTACAACCTGGAATTAAAAGGATTTTGGGGGGGGTTGTATCATTTGATTTACACAACATGACTACCACTTTGAAGATGCAAAATACTTTTTATCGTGAAACAAAGAAGAAATAAGACTAAAAAACTGAAAAACTTGAGCGTGCATAACTATTCACCCCCCCCACACACACACTTTTGCAGCAATTACAGCTGCACACCTCTTGGGGTATGTCTCTATAAGCTTGGCACATCTAGCCACTGGGATTTTTGCCCATTATTTAAGGCAAAACTGCTCCAGCTCCTTCAAGTTGGATGGGTTCCGCTGGTGTACAGCAATCTTTAAGTCATACCACAGATTCTCAATTGGATTGAGGTCTGGGCTTTGACTATGCCATTCCAAGACATTTAAATGTTTCCCCTTAAACCACTCGAGTGTTGCTTTAGCAGTATGCTTAGGGTCATTGTCCTGCTGGAAGGTGAACCTCAGTCCCAGTCTCAAATCTCTGGAAGACTGAAACAGGTTTCCCTCAAGAATTTCCCTGTATTTAGCGCCATCCATCATTCCTTCAATTCTGACCAGTTTCCCAGTCCCTGCCGATGAAAAACATCCCCACAGCATGATGCTGCCACCACCATGCTTCACTGTGGGGATGGTGTTCTCGGGGAGATGAGAGGTGTTGGGTTTGCGCCATATATAGCGTTTTCCTTGATGGCCAAAAAGCTCAATTTTAGTCTCATCTGACCAGAGCACCTTCTTCCATATGTTTGGGGAGTCTCCCACATGCCTCTCTGATTAATGCCCTCCTTTCCTGGTCTGTGAGTTTTGGTGGGTGGCCCTCTCTTGGCAGGTTTGTTGTGGTGCCATATTCTTTCCATTTTTTTATAATGGATTTTAATGGTGCGCCATGGGATGTTCAAAGTTTCTGATATTTTTTTATAACCCATCCCTATTCTGTACTTCTCCACAACTTTGTTCCTGACCTGTTTGGAGAGCTCCTTGGTCTTCATGATGCCACTTGTTTGGTGGTGCCCCTTGCTTAGTGGTGTTGCAGACTCTGGGGCCTTTCAGAACAGGTGTATATATACTGAGATCATGTGACAGATCATGTGACACTTAGATTGCACACAGGTGGACTTTATTTAACTAATTATGTGACTTCTGAAGGTAATTGGTTGCACCAGATCTTATTTAGGGGCTTCATAGCAAAGGGGGTGAATACATATGCGCGCACCACTTTTCCGTTATTTATTTTGTATAATTTTTTTAACAAGTTATTTTTTTCATTTCACTTCACAAATTTGGAATATTTTGTCTATGTCCATTACATGAAATCGAAATAAAAATCCATTTAAATTACAGGTTGTAATGCAACAAAATAGGAAAAACGCCAAGGGGGATGAATACTTTTGCAAGGCACTGTACGTATTGGATCGTAACAAAAATACCACTTTTTGATTACCGTGTAGTTTACCAAAACAATTGTCTGACAATGAAGTGGACATACTCTGTAAATAAATGAACTCATTACAACATTTTTTAATAGAAAGTTACCAAAAATAGATCATATCTTGCTACCATGGAATGGTAAATACCTGTCTATTGGTGAAAAAATCACCCTTTTTAGTTGTTTAGGCATATCCCAGTTTACCTATTTGCTTATGGCCCTGCCTACACCGAGCGATATGTTTTTCAAATTATATGATCAAAAAGATTTCACTTTATTTGGAATGGCAAGACAGATTAAATTAAACGTGCTTATTTATATAATGAATATGAATTCAGGGGGCAAAAATGATAAAATATTAAAGCATTAAACCTCTCACTAAAAGCATCAATCATACATAAGTTATACTTAAAGCCGAACTGGTTCTCAAGTAGATCAGTAAGTATGGCTCACCCCTTGGTAAAAAATGGCCTTTTTGCCCTTATCTATATTACAACCTCACATTTTCAATTAACTGAAAATGGAAGCTTTTCAAAATATCGACCTTTCTAAAACAAATCATACAGAGCTGGTTGCAATTCCAGATTCATCCTCCAGAAAAGAGAGAACAAATATAACAACAATATTATTGTTGAACTCAAATATTCTAATTAATAAAAATAAAAAAAACGTTCTTTCTGAAGAAATTTAATAAAAAAGGAATTCTCTTTGTTATTGACATTATCAATAGGAAAGGTGGAGATATGTAAAATGTGCAGCTAACAAAAATATTTGGAAATGTTTGCTCTAACCAAAATTACAACCAATTGATTGCAGCATTACCGCGAAAAGGAAGAGGCAACTGGAAGGGGTAGAAGGTGGGGATTCTGATTCCATGGCTTGTGAACTGATACACAAAACAACGCTTGGTTCAAAATGTAAACTTACAATTATTATACAAAATTCTTGCAACCTACAGAATGTTATGTATATGCTGCATACAACCAGATCCGCTCTGCAGATTTTGCTGTGAAGAGACAGAATCATTAGATCACTTACAACCCTACAGGTAGCACTGTTTGGAGATTTGGAAGGCCATAGTCAATCAATCAACAATATAATAATACTCTTAGTTAAAATATTTATCTTTAATATACAATCTGTAGATACTATGTGATTAGACAGGTTTAGAATTGATGTGAAACATCACAGTACAGTTGAAAAATATATGTCTCATGGAAATCATAAGAGGGTGGTTTACAGAGATAGGTGGGATGGACTGAGAGCAGCTGAGGGGTGGGATTAGAAGCCAATTATCTATAATAGTTATGACTGAAAACACCATATATAATGTATTCTGGATGGGTTTAAGTACTATCTATCTAGATGTCATGTATATCCAATAACTACATTTTGTTATGTAGCTACTGTGTAACAAAGGTGCCATGTATATAACATATGTGTAGAATGTAAATGTAACGGGGAAGAAAGCTGAACAAACAAAGTTATTTTTATCCTCCGAGGAGAGAGGTGGTGGATTGGCAAAAAATAAAAAAGGGTAACATGTTTCTATGAAGTGCTGAAGTTGAGGTCAGGGACTGGGACTGGACACATGCTGACACTCTGAAGACAGGAGCAGTAGCTTGTCTTATCAATAACACTTCCTGTATTATGTGTGTTATAGTCCAGATGGAATGTCATTTTCTGCTGTGAGAATTTGCTTGAATTCCAATCTAATGTGTTTTCTGTTGTTGTGTCTACAGGTGCTTATCGTGTGTCTGTGAAGACAGGAGGCTCCATCACCATCCCATGTCGCTATGATCAGAAATACAAAACCCATGTGAAATACTTGTGTAAAATAGATTATTTGCAAAGATGCTCCACTGTTGTACGCACTTACCCTCCTAAGAGCACAGATAAGGCCTCAATCTCTGATGACATCAACCAGCTAACCGTCACTGTGACCATGACTGATCTGGAGCCAGTGGACTCTGGTCGTTACTGGTGTGCTGTAGAGATGAATGTTGGACAAAATGTCATGACAGAATGGTTCCGACTATCTGTCACTCCACGTAAGATCCCTGCAACTCTTCCATATGATTACATGACTGGTGTTCTGGTTTAATTTACTGGTATCACTATTATTGTTCAAGTTGACATGAGGAAAGTTGGTATATGTCTACTTTCTGTTCTCTATCCATCATATCATAATTATGATATTTGTGTTCAGTTGTTACAAAAAAACACTTGATCACTCAGGACCTTCTTTGGTGTGTGTACCCCTGTGTTCAGGTACTCCAGAACTCTATGTGGACCAACAGGAGGTGACTGGAGTTGAAGGAGAGAGTGTCATTGTAAACTGTTACTATAGTGACACTGGAAATAGGAAGTGGTGCAGGATTGGTGGCAGTGTCTCCTGTATGGTGGGGAATTCTGGGACTCTAGATGGAACATCAGTGACCCTACAGCAGACCGCTGATGCCACCAGATCAAATGTCTTAACGGTGACTATGAGTGGTCTGAAGATGGATAACACTGGCTGGTACAGGTGTAGAGTGGGAGACCTTATGATGCCTGTTCACATCACTGTCAGACGACAAACCACCACACAAAGTACCACCACTGTGACCAGTGAGTAGAGAGCAATCAGATATTGTAGAATTAAGTATAAACCTGTTTTTATCCAGTCTTCCTGACTTATTATCTGAAGCAAATTGGATTGTAACCTGATTCAAAGCTTTTGGGAATACTTAGAGGTCCTACCATGGGTTTGAACTCAACAAAATTCATATGTTGGGGTAAATGAAATAAGCTGGACAAGAAGGTCATAGTTTAGCCACAATGTCTTGTTACAGTTCAGTCTACCTTGTGTATCTCTGGTACACCAGTCATAATACCATTGTTGTTTTTACCTCACAGCAACCCAAGCTCCAACCACTGAACAATCCTCTTTCTCTCCAACTGCTGAGCCTGTTCAGACTGACAACACAGTCCAAGGACCTGAGGGGGGCAAGGAGAAGGACACCATGAGGTAATGATCACTCATTCAGCTGTATTTCACACTTACTCTTCCAAATGGATAACAATAGAAATGTGAAGAAATGTAACCTTTTCTGTTTTTGACAATACACAAAAACACCCTCCTTTAATGTTTCCACACCAAATATAGACCAAAAAGACACTGTTCTTATAGAGACATTTACCACTTCCTCATATTTCTGTGGTTGTAGAAGAAGCAGCATACTATTCTTGAATGGCCAAGTTTCACACATAAAAGGTGTGAAGAGCTGAACAAATATTTCCATTTAGTCATAGCAGCACAAAAAACATAATGCAAAAAAACAATAATGATCTATTTATCTGTTCTGTTTTATGGACAATATTTTACAGTAAACATAGTCTTTCACCTTCAGTTCCATAGATCTAAAAGTCCTACTGATTCCTCTGGGCATGTTGGTGGTGGTGATAGCTGGTGTCCTAGTCACCACCTTCATTGAACCACACTCATTAAATACCTTGTGCAGTCAAAATCATCACTGCCGCTGCAAACTGTTAAATATACACTGCCTTTAGCAAAATGAAGTTTTCCCTTTACAACTCCCCTTAAAAAATTGTCCTTGTATTACAGCAATTTACAGAGGAACATGTTCTAAAGCTTTTAATTATTCTACAGACGGGGGAGAACATTCTTCTACCTGCCAAAAATTGGTAATGCAGTGCTCTTCCTCCTGTGCACCATCATTGCTGTGGTGAAGTTCAGGGCAAACTGACTCCAAGGTAAAACTGAGGATGAGTAGAAACCAGACAGGTCTCTCTTGTGAGACCAAGGGACAGATTTACTTCTTGCATCTGGTTTTTCAGGGATAAAACACACAAAATAAGAAATATTTCATTTATGGTACATTTTACCTAATTTATGTCTTTGACCTAATTTGACTTTTTAGTCCGTATGTTGTTGCCCAAATATGATTTTAATTTTATTTTTTTATTTTTTGTCATTTAGCAGACGCTCTTATCCAGAGCAATTAGGGTTAAGTGCCTTGCTCAAGGGCACATCGACAGATTTTTCACCTAGTCGGCTCGGGGATTAGAACCAGCGACCTTTCGGTTACTGGCACAACGCTCTTAACCACTAAGCTACCTGCCAAATGATTTGTTTCTTAGTTGATCCTATTTACAGAATCATAGTCTTACTGTACTATTCTGTCTGCTTTATATGTTTTAAAAAATGCATGCGTTGTTAATAAACTTTAAAACCTGTTAACATATTCTTAAAAAGTTGTGTCTCTGCCCAATACAATGTTTCTGATTTGTGTGTGCTTGCAAGCACCATATATGCTTGAACTGTTAATATTTAAGCATAAATGAAATACATTTAAAGAATGCTAATTAACTATTCAATACTAAAAATTTGGAAATCAGATATGTTCACCCCCTACTAAAGGGTGGAGACCCTTCAGATGTGAATAACTATTGCCCTATTTCCAAGCTCCGTATCCTGGTCAAAGTCTGAATCTCTAGTGAACTCTCAGCTACCCCACATCAGACCACTGATGCCACCAAAGGAAAAGTCTTAGCGGTGACTATGAGTGGTCTGAAGATGGAGAACACTGGCTGGTACATGTGTGGAGTGGGAGACATAGACATACAGTGGGGAAAAAAAGTATTTAGTCAGCCACCAATTGTGCAAGTTCTCCCACTTAAAAAGATGAGAGAGGCCTGTAATTTTCATCATAGGTACAAGTCAACTATGACAGACAAATTGAGAAAAATAAATCCAGAAAATCACATTGTAGGATTTTTAATGAATTTATTTGCAAATTATGGTGGAAAATAAGTATTTGGTCACCTACAAACAAGCAAGATTTCTGGCTCTCACAGACCTGTAACTTCTTCTTTAAGCGGCTCCTCTGTCCTCCACTCGTTACCTGTATTAATGGCACCTGTTTGAACTTGTTATCAGTATAAAATACACCTGTCCACAACCTCAAACAGTCACACTCCAAACTCCACTATGGCCAAGACCAAAGAGCTGTCAAAGGACACCAGAAACAAAATTGTAGATCTGCACCAGGCTGGGAAGACTGAATCTGCAATAGGTAAGCAGCTTGGTTTGAAGAAATCAACTGTGGGAGCAATTATTAGGAAATGGAAGACATACAAGACCACTGATAATCTCCCTCGATCTGGGGCTCCACGCAAGATCTCACCCCGTGGGGTCAAAATGATCACAAGAACGGTGAGCAAAAATCCCAGAACCACACGGGGGAACCTAGTGAATGACCTGCAGAGAGCTGGGACCAAAGTAACAAAGCCTACCATCAGTAACACACTACGCCGCCAGGGACTCAAATCCTGCAGTGCCAGACGTGTCCCCCTGCTTAAGCCAGTACATGTCCAGGCCCGTCTGAAGTTTGCTAGAGTGCATTTGGATGATCCAGAAGAGGATTGGGAGAATGTCATATGGTCAGATGAAACCAAAATAGAACTTTTTGGTAAAAACTCAACTCGTCGTGTTTGGAGGACAAAGAATGCTGAGTTGCATCCAAAGAACACCATACCTACTGTGAAGCATGGGGGTGGAAACATCATGCTTTGGGGCTGTTTTTCTGCAAAGGGACCAGGACGACTGATCCGTGTAAAGGAAAGAATGAATGGGGCCATGTATCGTGAGATTTTGAGTGAAAACCTCCTTCCATCAGCAAGGGCATTGAAGATGAAACGTGGCTGGGTCTTTCAGCATGACAATGATCCCAAACACACCGCCCGGGCAACGAAGGAGTGGCTTCGTAAAAAGCATTTCAAGGTCCTGGAGTGGCCTAGCCAGTCTCCAGATCTCAACCCCATAGAAAATCTTTGGAGGGAGTTGAAAGTCTGTGTTGCCCAGCGACAGCCCCAAAACATCACTACTCTAGAGGAGATCTGCATGGAGGAATGGGCCAAAATACCAGCAACAGTGTGTGAAAACCTTGTGAAGACTTACAGAAAACGTTTGACCTGTGTCATTGCCAACAAAGGGTATATAACAAAGTATTGAGAAACTTTTGTTATTGACCAAATACTTATTTTCCACCATAATTTGCAAATAAATTCATTAAAAATCCTACAATGTGATTTTCTGGATTTTCTTTTCTCATTTTGTCTGTCATAGTCAGAGGTGGGTAGAGTAGCCAAAAATTGTACTCAAGTAAAAGTACTGTTACTTCAGAATAATATGACTCAAGTAAAAGTAAAAAGTAGTCATCCAAATAATTACTTGAGTAAGAGTAAAAAAGTACTTGGTGAAAAAACGACTCAAGTACTGAGTAACTGTTGAGTAACGTCTGATTTATTTTTTAACACAAGACAACAATCAGACAGACAAAAATACAAAATAATCATCTTTAATGAATTACAAAATAGCTTAAATTAAAATAATTCAGGTAAATTCAAGTATAAAAAAATTAAATAATAATAAATAAAAAATAAATAAATAAGCACAAGTAGCACAAATTTCCAAACCTTTATACTTTTTTTTACCAGGCAGAACTAGAACGAGGCAGCCCATAAACTCTCATAAACACATAAACATAAAACACACAAACATTTCATACCAGGCATGCTGAACAGAAAACTGCACACCAGAAGGAAGCGGTCAACGTAAAATAATCAATAGGTGTTGATTAGGCCTACTCAGTACCTTTGTATTGCATGGCAAGCAACAGCCCTTTTTCTGTGTGCCTAGAAATGAATACTCTGATCTGTGATTAGGCCACACTGCACATCTCACTGAGCAGAGGAAAAGAGCAGCAGTACACATCAACTGAAAAAGCACCAGTCCATGATAGATGGCCAAATAAAACAATATTGCAGGCCTAGTATCCCAGAACACAAATTAAGCTGAATGCATGTTCTCTAAAAGGCATCAGAGGAGAGTGATGTAGTTGTAGATCGGGCATTATGTTTACTTCCAGTTCCAATATCTAACAAGAAAAGTCAGCAAAAAAAAGTAACTAACTATATTGCCACCCTGTGGTTTGTCACTGACACACTATAATCCTAAATGACAGTAACATTATACAGAGTTATATAGGTCAAGGTCTACTGGTTCACATTTGAATTGATAAACAAGTATATTTACCAACATTTAAGATGTTCTCCTCTGTGGTCCAGGATGTTCTGAATCTTGGTAGGAGTATTGCTGCTGCAATCAGCTCAGGCTCTTTCATGACGTCTCCAAAACGTTTCTGGATCCCTTGCTGCAGGGCGTGAACAAGAGGTGTACACATTTTGCAAGTTGACTCCAACTTCTTCAGCTTGTCCCGCAACTGGTAAAGTGTTGGCAGCAGGAGGCCCATATGCACAGATGATTCCCCTTGGAGGATATTAAGGGCCATGGCAACAGGCTTCATCACAGCAGCATACTCGACCAAAAACCCATTTTCAGCTGGATTGAACCTATAAAAGATGTAACGATAAAACAATGACTTATAGCTATTTCTGGTACAATGTCTTTATTATGCATTGTACATGTTAAATACAAAAAATATATATATATATTTCATTCAAGTCATCCACAATTGTCACACCACCATGCAAAGAAAACTGAGTTACTTGAGACAAGTGGATTCACCCATTAATCAGCAAGGCTTATTTACTTGTATTATTCTTTAAAAACAAAATATACATTTTGTCAACTTACATCTTTATCTTTAATGCTGTGCAGACATTGCGAATTGCTTGTTCTCCTTGCTCTCGGTGAATGCGCACAATCCTTTCTACAGCGAGGAACAGGGAGCTCCAGCATGTCAGATTGGGTCAGAGAAACTGCAGCTTGCATTCACGTTCCACTGTTTCATGAGCCATGGTTGACCTGCTGGTTTTATTCCAAAGAGCATGACATTTTGCAAAAGCAGACCGAGAGCCTCTTGTAGGTTTCGTTTGCAGCTCCTCCTGCAGCAGTGGCATCAACTGTGGATATAAGATTGAGGAGATGGCATGCACACTTTTGGTGCCTTGGAAGTTGGTACTCAAGGCCTGTGTTGTCATCCAGAATTGCAGACATCTTGATACTCCACCTCTGACTCACTCTGATCTTCTGTTGCATCATCAAGGGTGGAGTCACTCTCCTCTTGTACATTGATGGCTTCCTCCTCTTTCTCCTCACCATATAATCGAAAGGAAGTTTGAGCCACTGTGTTGTCGTCCTGGTCACTTTTTCCCTGATGTGGTACTCAGAATGTATTTCCTCTAATGCAGCAGCAAGGACATCAAACGTGTGCGAGCCTTTGACAGGTCTACAAGCCAATGTGGAGTGCCTCTCCAGTGAGGTGTTGTCTATCCAGTGACAGGTGACACCTAAGTAGCTACGTTAGCAACATAGTTCACAGCACTCAGCTTTTTGATGATTATGCTCTTCTTGTGTTTTGCAGCTTCTTGTATTCTTGTGCATAACGTTTTCCTTGTCATTACTGTATGAGGTTGCAAGGTTTCTATCAAAGTATTGAAGGATGGCGTCTCAACCACAGAAAATGGTTGGTTGGCCTCACATACAAAATTTAGCATCAGCTTGTCAAGCGTTGCTTGTGTTACCCCGCCCTGGGGCAGCAAAGGCTGTGATTTTTGCATTTTTCACAAGAGTATCACTGGAAGAGGAGGACTTACGCTTTCTGTGGTTCTCTAGTAAGTCTGTGTACTTTGCCAGTTTGTTGGGGTGAATCCTCTGTGGACAAAAAAAAAATCTGTGAGGCTACAGGGAGATCAAGACATTAAAAGAGACTTATTATCACAT